ACCCCATTCATGGTCCCCAGCTGACCCCACGATGTCGTCCTCCTTCCCGGTCCTGCTGTCACGGCTCTGCAGACCCCTTCGGCCCGGGGCGGCTCCGCGTCACGCCGGCTCCGTCCCTGGCCAGCCTTCCAGAGCACCGCCTGACCGCCCGCAGGGGGCCTCTCCGCGTGGCTTCGTCTGCTGTTTCGTTACGACCAGACTCAGGATGTGCTTTTCTCACATAAATGAGCCAATGAGGCCCCTGCGATTGTCCCCACGTTTGCTTCTTCGCAGCAGTCCGGGACCCGTTAGCTCAAAAGCCCTCTGGTGCCAAACTCTTTTTTTGTTTTGACTTGAAAAAGATGATTTCGTAGCCCGTAGAGGCTATTAAGTTATATTGCAACCTCGCACGCCGTTGGAAGGGAAAGGTGGTAGCAAATGCAAATTCTCACACGTCTAGTTGTTTGAAATAGAGCTGAATAAGCAGACTTTCAGCCATTTAGAGCCTGCCTGCTTCGTGTACCGTGAGAAGCTGCACCAAGCGTGTGCCATAGACAAGATAAAGCCCAGAGCTGTCATGGGTCCAGGCCGCCACTGCCCTCTGGAGCTCCCTGGCCCAAAGCCCCCCGCCCACTGCTGGGCAGTGCCGCCTGGACAAGCCCTTTGCCTTGGGGTCCCCTTGCCCTCCTCCCCTCCTGGGCGGTAGCCCCTGCGCCGTGGCTCCTGGAAGGTCTCGCGCTGTGAGGTTGTGGGTTTTGGGTTGCAGATAATTCTTAGCAAGCAGACCAGCTTGCGAACATGGAACCCACGAAGAGGAGTAACGGGACTTACCTAATAAAAAATGGACACCTGCCAGGTAGATGGGCAGGGCCATAGAACGTGACCAGTGTAAGCCTTACCTGCACCAAATTAATTTTTTTCACAAGAATGGCTCAATGCATTTCTGCGTCCTCTGCACGCAGACCCGCCAGCGCCCCTTACATGACACCCATCTGAGCTGCAGCCACCTGGCGATTGTGTCGCTTCTGGGCTCGGCCCCAAAGCCCCCACCGACTGCCGCTTCCTCAGCGGGAGCGTGACAGAAACCGTGCTGTGTTCTTTCCAGCACAGTGTATCAGGGGGCATGTGTTGCTGACCCGTCCCACCCTGGTGACATTGCCCTTGATCACCTGGTCAAGCCCACGTCTCTCAGGTTCCCTCGCCTTAAACTCGCCTTCCCCACAGCTGGAGGTGTTCTCATATTACGCCAATACCTTCTTCCTCGTCAAACCGCCGACACGGACTTACCCACTGATGACTCCCACTTGAGTTAGCCACCTCCGTAATGGTCGCCAAGTGGAGATCTTCTAATTCCATAATTCCTTCTGGCTCGGTTGGCTTTCCACAGTAAGGAAGAGCTTTCCCCTTCCCCAATTCACTTATCAACATATATTTGCTTGGATTCGTATTTTCGATATATCCCATTGTTCAATGAGTTATTGGGTGGGTTATAATCCATCACGATCATTATTTATCTCGATGCTCAGATCGCCCCAGATTTGGCCCCAGATTTAAGCTGGCTACTCTGGCCTTTGCCAGGTCCCGCAAATTTGGGGCCACCTCCTTGCTTTCTGGCACTAGATATTCCAGGCTTATCTCATACTTTCCCTGCCCTAGGCCTGGAATCAGGCATTTCTCCAAACAGCCCTGGTTCCTTGTAGTGGTTGGTGGGGTTTAGAAACCAAGACCTGAGATCTGGGTGTCCAGTGTGCTCGCTGCCACCGCGTGTCACTGCGTCCAGGGCCCCTGAGCAGACCGAACTAGGAAATGTGCATAGCCCATAGAGGCTATTTACACATATACATGTGCATGCACGCACGCAAATGTATAGACACTTTGTGTAACGCATGTCTATATATCTGTGTTATGAATTTGTCCAGTACCTCCAGTTCTAATTTAATTCTCCTAAATTTCTTCTCCGGCAGTAAGAAACTTAGCTTCTATTTCCTGCAACATATTTACTTATTTGCTCAAGGCATCCAGCCTCCCAGCCACCCTGCCATCTCGGCCTGTCGCTGCTCTGTCTCCCTCACCGCCTCATGCCCGCGGCCACCAAGCCTGCTGCCTGCTCCTCCCTGCAGCCGCCCGCCGCCATGCCCCCACCCCACATCCTCAACCACTGTGCTGACTGCCCCCGCCTGGAAGAGAAGACGTCTCTTTTATATTTTTTATATGTAAAAATAAATCCTCCCCTCTCTACCGCACACACGCATACATATATTTTTCTTAGAGCGACACAGGTATATTTATATAGTCGGTCTTGCTGTTTGTGGTAGCGATGTTCCATAAACTTGCTATCAGCACTGAATTGGCAGATACAGAACCACAGCTCTCAGGAGAAACACAGGGTTGGGTCCCTGGCAGCCTCTGGTCATGACATTTTTATCAACCGATCAATGCATCACCTCATATTGTGTCTGTTTCCACTGAAAGACACCTTATCTAGTATGTGCTGTCGATTCATTAACATTAGAATTTGCACCTGAACTAAGCTTGCCTAATGTTTTTCCGTAAGGCACGCCACAGCCTTCTTGCACTCAGGAACACGAGACAGCACCGTAGCCCTGCTCGGGAGCAATTTTCAACAGCAAAATCACCAACAAAAATGTGAAAAAAAAAAAGGCACTAAGTAGACCTCTAAAAGGACATGCACTTACAGTATGAGCTGAAGGAGGAAGGCAGGGCATTGCCTTGTCTGACCTCAGCTGGGAACGTGGGTGTGGGGCGCTCCAATCTGTTCATGGCTTGGACATGTCCGCAAATGGTCACAGGCTCCGGGGGTGTGGGTTTTGGGTTGCAGATAATTCTTAGCAAGCAGGCCAGCTTGCAAACATGGAACCCGCAAAGAGGAGTAATGGGACTTACCTAATAAAAAATGGACACCTGCCAGGTAGATGGGCGGGGCCATAGAACGTGACCAGCGTAAGCCTTACCTGCACCAAGTTAATTTTTTTCACAAGAATGGCTCAATGCATTTCTGACCTACTTCCGATTGTACGTTTCAAAACTAAAAGGGGCCCTGGGCTGCTGCTGGGTGTCCAGGACCTTAAGGGACACGAGGTTCGTCCTCCTGTCTTGATGTGCTGCCCTCACCTGGCCCGGGGGTGTCCCCTCCCCGGCTGCCCCCACCCACACTCTTAGCGGCCAGTGGACCATGGGTTTTCCGCATCCACTTTGCTCTGCCGACACACGGGCCGTTGGGCGAAAGAGCCAAAAACGTCTCTTTTCTTTAAACTGCTGTTATTCTGGACCTTGTGACACCAGCAAAACTCATCCCCGGAGAGGGAATTTGTCAAAGCCCTCGCCGTTGACCAGGACCGACGGTGCTTTGATGGCGACCGCTAACGTGTACCGGGGGCTTTGAGGCGTCCGAGGCCACACTCCGTCTGCCATCGGTGGAACTTCACAGCCACCCTGTGCGAGGGGCGTCTGTTTCCACAGATAAAAACACCCCGAGGCTCAGAAGGTTGAACTCACACACAGCTATAGCCAGAATTTGAGCTGATTTCAGAGTCTGAGCTTCTCAACAAAAGACGAAACGTTTGCGTCTGGCCAACGGCCGGGGCCCAGGACGGGTGGCTTTGGTATCGGGGCCCGGTGTTAGGGTTTCCAGTCTGTCCCCGGGAGGCATGCCGGTTCGGGCCCGGTTCTTAAACTTAGATACTTTTCTCTCTGATGTCTCGGTCGGGCCTCTGGAGAGAACAAAATCCAGTTGGAAGCCACAGCTCAGGCCTGCCTTCTACACCAAGCCGTTCTGCATAGACCTGCCATAAGCGTCCGCTTGGAAGGGATGACGCCGAAGTTCATCGGGACTGAGATCTGCGACACCCTATCACTTCGAAAGGTGTGGCCGGTCCCAGCGGAGCACCGCTTCAATGCACGAGCAATCGATCGATCGTCGATCGTCGAGGGACTGGTCCGGAGGGAAGCCGGCTCCTGAAAGGCAGAGGGGACAGCCCCCGCTCAGCAGGACGCAGCACGGGCCGGTGGGGAGCTCCCGCAGGGGGCCGGAGAGAGGGGAAGCAAGTCACCACCACGCGGGGGCCTTGGGACACTCTCCGAGACCCTGCAGCGGCCACAAAATGAGAATGTTTCTAAATGAACTGATGCATTTATGAGTTAGAAAATCGGACCCCTCAGCACTGTCCAAGGAAAATACTGCGTGACCCACCCGTACACTTTAAAATTTTCCTTTAGCCACAAAGAAGGAACTGATGAAATTGATTGAAATAGTATGTAATTTATGTAACCCAGGATATCCAAACTATTATCATTTCAACATGTAACAAATATTTAAAAATACTGATTAGATACTTTATATTCTGAGCCTTCACAACCCCGTGTGTATTTTCCACATACGCATACCTCGATTCCGATGTGCCACACTGTGGCCGGTGGCTGCCACACCGGCCAGCACAAGCGCGGAGGGCCCATCTCCCAACCCCTCATCGGTGTCTATGGTTTCTCAGGCAACTGCAAAGTGAAATTAGAAATCTTTCACGAGATGCGGAACGATGAATGCGCTGGCTGCTGGGCTGAGGGCCGAAGGTGTGAGGACCTGCACCAGGTAGCAACGGAGGGAAGGAAACGGATGGCGGTGGAGTGACGGACGGGCTGTGCCGCGTCCCCTCCCCCGGGGCCGCATGCTGAAGTCCTGACCCCACCCCGTGCCGCAGAACACGAAGGACTTAGAGACACGGATCTCTGCAGAGGCGATCACGTTGAAATGAGGTCCGGAGGGTGGGCCTGGCCGGTATGACCTGTGTCCTTATAAAAGGGCGAAATGTGGACACAGAGAAGATGGCATCCAAGACTTGATCTCAGACTTCCAGCCTCAGAACCGCAAGAAAAAGCTTTCCTGGCGTCCGAGCCCCCGGCCCTGGCCATGTCGTCTGAGCCCCTGGCCCGTGGCCTTGTGCTACCACAGCCCCCGTAAACGCATACGCATATGCTGTCTGGGGCGTCAAGAGAAAGACGCGACCGCCACAGGGTTACAGGTGGCCCCAAGGATGACTGACGATGTGACGGCGCGTTCTCTCTCTGCCTGCACCACGTCTAGTGACTCGCAGTGTCACGGGGGCTCCCTAAGGACAAGACTTGGGGGGGAAGGAGGGCTGGGCAGGAACACAAGTCTCCGTCCCTTGCCGTCTGTGACGGGCCACCACGCTTCATTCCTGGGGTTCCTGGCAGGTAGTGCTCCCCTCAGCCAAGTTTCTGGCAAGCGGCTTTCTCCAGAGAGGCCACAGTGAAACATCTGGGCGTCTAACGAACAGCTCTGGTCCTGGAGGGGAAGATTGCTCTGCTCCCTCTCAGCGACAAGTGGAAAAGGCCAGAATAACAGCTAACGATGTGGGCGGCCGACCACGAAGGAGCCCGCGTGCCCTGCGCGACCCTGGCAGAGACAGCGAGAGCCGAGGCCGGACACTACCCAGGACCACGGTGACCGAAGGCGTGCGCACGTGTGCGCGTGGCTGCCACAGCTCTGCTCGCGGACCTACCTGCCACACGAGGGACCGCCTGGGCTGGACTCGCTCGAGGCGCGGCCGGTCTCACCAGCAGGGCAGCCGAGAGTGGCTCGCAGTGAAGTCACTGGTAGAAGTTTTCAATTTGCTTTTTGTATTTCTGGATTATGAAGTATCTCTTCATCTTTGTCGTTGGACCTGTCAAGAAAGGAGAAACGAGTCCGGTTGTGGAGATCAACTGCAAGGCCGCATCCCCGTGTGTGACCAGGCGACAGGCTCCCACGGCTGGGCCGGGGCCCACTTCCTGGGTGCACCGCCTTTCCTCGGTGGGGAGGAGTAAGTGCCAGGAGAGTCGGAGGAGAGGGAGCCACAGGGCCATGGTCAGGAGCTGGGCTTTGATCCCCGGGCGGAGGGGCTGTCCCAGCAGAGCCCAGGGGAGAAGGGACGTTGTGGGTGTCCGTGTGCATGTGCTTGGGGAGAGCCTGGCACCAGGCGGCTGGAGGTGGCAGCGTCCCTCTCCCGATCCCCAGCTGGTCCCGCAGACCCTCTGACCCCCAGAAAAGGGCATGACTCCTCAGAGCCCACGTGGCCCTGGACACTAGCCAGGGACCAGCCTCCAAGTGCCAAGGCCACTGGCTCTCCCACCACTCACCCAGCTCTCCACCCCAGATGGAAAAGTCCTTCTCCAAGATGACCCACTTCTGAACCCTGTGTGCGCCGGAGTTGGCCTCCTGGTTCGCAGCATCGATGCCCCTCTGGATGGCCGCGTAGACCCGGAGGTCGTGCTGCCCCACGATCTCAGTCACGGTGGTCGCCTGGCTGCCCACGCTCTGGCAGAACTTGATGGCCTCCGAGTTCAGTTTGTCCAACGGCTCTCCGGTTATCGAGTCCATCTCACACTGCCCCGGGACACCCCTGTCACCACACCGACACGCACGTGTGCCCCGGCCAGCCCCGAGGACCCGCGGGGTGCGCCGTGGACCCCATTACCTTCAGCGTCAGCAGGATACTCAGAAACTTCGCCTTATCTCCCACCAACATGGCGTGACTGAGGATGGGGATCTTCTTCTTAATCATGTTCTCGATGGGGCCAGGGGACACGTTCTCACCGCTGGCTGTGATGATGATTTCTGGAATAAAACCCGGCTTGGGGTGGGTTCGACTACGATAAGACGAAACCTCTGCCTTCCCGAGGATCAGAGGGGAGAGATGTCGGCATGGACAACCACTCACTTAGAAAATCCCAGAAGCGGAGGAGGACTCCCGCCCATGGCCAGGACTCCCACCGCGCCCTTCGCCAAGCCACAGACCCAGAGTCACCGGCGCATTCCACCAGCACAGTGTCTTATCAGCTCGGTCCCCCACGCCCCGGTCCAGGCCCTCCAATACGCCTTGCTCGGAAAATAGTGACATGCTTCTGGCCACACCCTCTCTCTCTGTCCCCTGATTTTCCATCACTTGTTAACCCCAAAAGAACCTAAGTCCAGAGTTACTCTGAAATTATGTGTCCCATCCTTAATTTTGGCACAGTCTAAAAAAATTGTATCGCTTTCTCCTCCCAGCCTCTAAAATTCTCTAAGAGCTCCTCCTGCTGCCCCAGGCACATTCTTCACTTGTCCTTTCCTCCCGAGACGCTTGCCACTTCCTGTCCCATCCACCCAGACTCTCTCCATCTCATCCCGTGATCTTGCCGTCACCTTTCCTGAGGTGGTCATAGCCACAGTAATGATATGATCACCTAATGGACATCCGTGGCGTTCTCTGCCCAGCGACTCCCGCTTTGAATAAACGCCCCCTGGCGTTTCCTTAGGGAGCTACTCTCCATCTGTATGTGCTTTGGGCAGGTGGACTGCAGGGTGAGCATGTGACCAAGTCTGACCAATCGGCACATTCCGTCTTCAACCCCTGGCTGTGGACCAGTACTGGTACCGGTCAGTGGCCCGTTAGGAACCGGGCCGCGCAGCAGGAGGTGAGCGGCGGGCCAGCGAAGCTTCCTCTGTATCTGCAGCCGCTCCCCAGCGCCGGCATCACCGCCTCAGCTCCGCCTCAGATCCTCAGGCGTTAGATTCTCACAGGAGCACCGGTCCCTGGTGCCACAGAGGTTGGGGACCGCTGACCTACAGTGATTCATTCTGAGATGAGACTCAATGAGGGAGGGCCAAGACCAAAGCTTGTGCTGAAACTATCAGGAACAACATGCTCTTTCCCCTGGGAGTCAGGGGAAGCCTAGACCGTTGGCGGCCACCTTGTCACCAACTGGGAAAAGCCTCTTTGAGAACGGCTCCAACACAGGAGAGAGCTCATGAAGAGAAGGTTAAAGAGGCTCCTCCCGCCGTCGCTTTGGCCTAAAGCAAGACCGCTGGGACCTCACAGTTTGTGAAACCAGTTTCCGTTGTTCACTCAAACCTGTTTCAGAAGGGCTTCCCGTTGCTTACCACGGAAATAACGCTGACGTGGCCCCCTTATCGAATAGTTACTCCCTCTGTCGGGCTCAGCGCCAGACGTTCTGTCTGCTTCGGAGGGGGCAGCCTGTAGCCAAATTCAGGCTTCTGCTTGTTTTCGTGTGGCCGCAAGCCCAAACTGGTCTTTACATTTTAAGTGGTTGGAAGGAAGCCCAAAGAATAATAATATTTGCGACACATGAAAATCACGTGACCCTCATACTGGCACACGGCGACATCTACCCATCCAGGCGTCGTCTGCGGCTGCTTTTACTACAACTGCCCAGCGAGTAACCATGGCCGAGAACACATGTCCTCGAACCCGAAGGTGTTTGCGGTCGGGCCCTTCGCAGAAGCCGGCGGGCCCTGTTCCACGCCCTTCCACTTCATCCGCATTTAGTCGTGCAATCTGCAGACTGTCGTCCGCAGGTTGCAGCGGAGGAACCGGGTTTTGGTGTTGGGATGGCTGTCTTCCCACCCATCCTGCTGAGGGCCGAATGCTGAGCCCGAGGACAAGCCAGGCTGTGCGGACCAGGGTGACCGTACCCCGGGGCTGGGCCCCCAGGCCGGGAGCCGCGGGCTTGCGCCCGTGCACGTGCACCCGGCCCTTAAGTGTTCCACCCGCTGGCTCGCAGGAGGCCGGCAGAGCCCAGTCCCCGTACCTTTGACACGGCCAGAGATGAAGAGGAAACCCTGGCTGTCCATGTGGCCCAAGTCCCCGCTGTGCAGCCAGCCTTGCTCGTCGATGACCTCCATGGTATCCTGCTCCCTTTCCAGGTAGCCCATGAACACGTGCCGGCCCCAGAGGCACACCTCCCCGGTGCCGTCGCTGTTCTGCTGGTACAGCATATTTTTACACCCACTTAGGATTTTTCCGCAGCTGCCAAGGAACGGGAGAGGGGACACCGAGGCTCAGAGAGACAAAGTCTCCCGCACAGGTCGGCCTGGGTCTGTGGCCCGGGCTCCTGACACTGCGTCTGCTCCTTCCACCCTCTCTGGGACCCGGGCCATGCGGAGGTGTTTGCCGAATGGAGGGGCCAGTGAACCGGGACACCCAGCAGAGTTGCAGGCTTCAAGTTTGACATCAGTCGGAGAAGGACATAGTGCCTCTGGCTTAAGAAGTGCACAACCCCTCATCTTTTAGAAAACAGACAGATAAACCTACACGCAGTGACCAGGAAAGGCTGATTTTTAAGTAAGACAACCAACCGCGATCTCTCTAGATGTTAAAGTTACTTCCTTAAGATGGAATAGCACTACCTGAAATCCGCATTCTTACAAGACCTCTTTTCCTAGAGACAGCATTTGGGAGGGAGGTTTTAGGAGGCAGAAAAGAAAGTATTTTCTTATTGCTTGGATGAGATCTCTTCCATCAGAACTTAGATGGGCCAGTGGTTTCAGGGCTAATTGTAGGGATTCCCGCAGTTAGCGAGAGGAAGGAGGCACGCTTAAGAAGCTCAGAACTTCCAAGGAGCCTCTCGATGACTTCCCCATCGAAGGCCTTTCTAGGAACCCAGAGGGTATAAAGGAAAGATTGATACACTCAGCCATGTAAAGATAAAAATACTTCCGCATAGCAAAGACACTTTGACCAAAACCAAACACCAATGATAAACCTAAGGGTAAACTATTTGTGACTCATTTCAAAAACAAAGGGCTGATTTTCCTAATATGTAAAGAGTGCCACCAAACCAATAATAAAGGGACCGATAATCTAGTTTTTAAAAAGGGTGGGAGATGTGGACAGATCAAAGAGAAAGAAATACAAATGGTTTTTAAATGCATGGAAGGATTTTTTTCAACTTCGGTTATTATAAAGGAATGTCTCCGAAAGCTGTCATAGAACACCACTTCCCACCAATGGGTTCAGCCACATATACGGTGTACATACAAAGCATTCCCTTGAGCGTTGTTTGTGGTCACAAACGATGGATCAAAAAAGCCCTAAATATCCGACAAGAGACAGCTCGAATAAATTATAATATATCCACCCCGTGGAATATTATGCAGCTGTTAAAAATGAAACAGCTGTTCGCACTCACAGGGAACATTCTCTGCAAGAATTCCTTACTAACCAAACCTGCTTGAGCCTGAGCTTGGGTGGTGGGAGTCGAGGCTGAGTGCAAGTTTGTATTACAAACCCAGACAGTGAAGGATATTATGTCATCTGAGTTTTTTCGGTTCCTGAGCTCCAGATAGCAAGTAATAAATAGTTCAGAGAGAATGACTTTTATGTCTATTTTTACACGGGAAATGCCCTCGCTTGGGATAAGAGCACCGCTTACGCCAGGTTAATTTAAGAGAACGCGATGTGCCCATTTTGCCTGTCGAGGGTGCTGTGGGTTGGACTGTGTCCGCCCCCACCCCATTCATGCTTCGTCGTCCTAACTCCCGGGACGTCAGAATGCGAGCTTATTTGGAAACAGGGTCACTGCACGTGTAATTGGTTACATTAAGACGAGGTCTTAATTTAAGACCCAAAGCCAGTATGACTGGAGTCCTCCTAGGAGAGGGGAGATGTGGGCACAGACACACAGGGCACAGGGAGGACAGCACGAGAAGACGAAGGCAACGATCAGGGTGATGCTCCTACAAGCCAGGGGCCGCCAGAGAGTGCCAGCAGCCCCGGGGGCTGGGAGAGGGGCCTGCGGTGAGCATGTCCCTGTGCCAGGCTCTGCGATAAGCGATTTCCATCGGATGCTCCTAGATACCCCTCTCACCGGTTCAGAAGGAACCACCCGGCCAACACCCTGATCTCGGACTTCTAGTCCCCAGAATTGTGAGGAAATAAATTTCTGTCGTCCAGCGTGCGGCACTGTGCTACCGCAGCCCCAGCGAAGTGGGCCAGAACGGGGAGATGGGGAGCAGGCGGGAGGGCACCTCCACCTCACCACGTCATCCCTTCTGATTTGTTTTTGAAATGTGCATTGAAAAAAAAAAAGAGTGAAAGATACAGGCTGGAATTTTTACCTTTCCTCAAGGGTTGGGACAGTGTCACTTCTCTTTAGGGAAGGACCACTCTTTGGTTTTGGAAAAACGCCTGTGGACATTCGATCTGGCGGAAAACGGGCCTCAGCTGGTTTTACGGAGTGGAGAGGGAGAGGCGCTAAGGCGAAGGGAAAGGCAGCGATGATTTTGCCGGATCAGGAAGGTTGAACTGGGTTTTTGCTGAGTTCAGAGGCATTCGGAACCTGGCCAAGCATGAGTGACAAGCCAGACTTGCAACGTGGCAGCAGGGAAGGGGTCAGAGAGAGAGACGACCGGCAGGCTCAGTCTCAGAGTGGAACCTGCGTTTGGTGTTCTTACTGTTTCAGTATCATGGGGTTCAATCCCGCAGCCTGGGGTGAGCGGAGCTTGGGAGAAGCCAGAGAGGGCCTGTGGCGTGTCTGAGATGGAGCATCGCGGAGATGAAGGGTCTGAGGTCCCAGGAAGTGAACCTGGGGTGGGCAGGCCAGGGTGGGCTGTCTGCAGGCAATCAGGGGCGGCCACGGAAAGTTCTGAGAACCCTTCCCCGTCGGCAGATTCCCCAACAAGCCAGGGCTTCCCGCGGTCATGAGGATTTGGGGCTCGGGGGCTGGAGAACAGGGATCATTCTGGTGCCACCAAGTCAAGATTCACCTCGGACCGAGGCCCGCCCACCTTCCTGTCTTCCTCCCCTGGGCACCGTGTCTCTGGAGGACCGGGGGTCTGTCCAGGAGGTTAGTACCTTAGGATCCTGTAGTTTTCCCAGCTGTGTGCCGTGTGAGGTCCTGAGCTTTCGCTTAAACCGTACATCTCACCCACAGGGATGTCCAGGCTCAGAAAGAACTCGGAGGTGTCTGGGCCGAGGAACCCGGCCCCGCTCATGAGAAAGCGGCAGCGTTCGAGGCCCAGGGCGCTCCTGACTTTGCTGAACACGAGCGCCTTCGCTAACTGGTAGGTCACGGGGGTCTCGTATATCCTGTGAACAGCGCCAGGGAGGGCTCTGTGACCATGGGCCCCAGGCGGAGAAGGCTGAGCCCCTTACCCACTGCCCTCCCTGCCCGGCCCCGCTGCACCCTCCACCTACCCCAGCATCTTTTTTTTATTGATCTTTAAGCCAATAGCTCTTGCCCATGAAAACACCTTCTTCTTCAACTGCGAGTCTCTGGTGCCATTTTCCTTTATCCTCTCTTGCATCTTCTCCCAAATTCGGGGCACCCCCAAAAAGATGGTAGGCTTTACCTCCTGCAGAGTATCGACCAAGGTGCCCTGCATGGGACAGAGCCTTGTTAGCCACCCCTTCTACCTTCCAAAGCCCCGAGATGTTCATCTCTCCCAGCCACCCAGCTCAGCCCAGGAGAACCTTCTCCTGGCCAATTGAGACAGATGTAAGGTTCTCCCCCACAAAATCGATCTCTAGGTTTAATGCAATCCCAATCAAAATTCAGACAGGCTCGTTTATACAAACTGACGAGATGATCTTGCATTTTATATGGAAATACAGAGGGCCTAGAACAGTCAAAGCGATTTTGGAAAAGAACAAAATAGGAAGAATTACTACCTGGTTTTGAAATTTATTATAAAGTAGGGTGATCAACCATCCTGGTTTGCCCAGAACTGAAGGAGTTCCTGGAATGCCGGATTTTCAGTTATAAAACTGGGAAAGTCTCAGGCAAACTGGGACAAAGTAGTCATCCTACCATAAACCAGAAAACCCAAGTCAGTGTGGTTTCGGCATAAGGACAGACGCATAGATCAACGGAATGGAATAGAAACCCAGAGATGGCTCTTAGCATTTGTGATCAACTGATTCAATAAAAGTGCAAACTGACTGGCGAAAGGCCATCCACATCCAAAAAACTAGAGGTTAAAATAAGAGCTCAGCTTAGAGACTTCCTTCTTGCCAAACACAAAAAGAAACTCAAAATGAATCACAGACCTAAATGTAAGAGCTAAAACGAAAAGCCTTCTTGAAGAACACAGAAGAAATCTCCATGAGCTTGGACAAAAATTTCTTTCTTATGACACCAAAGGCATGAAAGAAAAAAATAATAAGTTGTACTTTATCAGAGTCAAAACGAAAAGACAAGCCTCAGAGCTGGGAGAAAGTGTTTGCAAATCATATACTTGATAAAGGATTTATATCCAGAATGAATAAAGAACCCTTAAAACGCCACAAGATACGCAACCACATTTTTAAATGGGCAAAAGATTCGAACAGACATTTTCCCAGAGAAGACACACGAATGGCCAATAAGCGAATGAAAACTTGCTCACGATGATTAGTCATTAGGGAAATGACAATTACAATGACTTCACATCCGCCAGGATGGCAAATGGTCACGACAATAATAATAATGAAACGATGATGTGTGAGTGACGGGGAGGAGAAATGAGAACTCTCATGCGCTTCTGGTGGCAACGTGAAACGGTGCAGCCACTTTGGAAGACAGTCAGTGAATGTATATATATCCATTATGTATTTAGCCAGAAAGGAAAGCATCGAGTGGCTACTACATCTCAGACGCTGAGCTTTGGGGACGTGAGAAGGTCTATGGAGAAATTTAAGCAGAGAACTAAATGACAGAGAGTCCTCAGCCACACAAAAACAGGAGAAGGAACCTTCTAGAAGGAATTACAAAGGCCCTCAGACAGCCTGTTGGATAGAGTGTGGAAGGCAGAGTAATGGCCCCCTGCCCCCAAGATGTCCTTCTTCTAACTTCCTGAATTGTTATCTTTTATGGCAGCAGGGACTTTGCAGATGTGATTAAGTTAAGGATCTTGAGATGGGTTGTTTTTTTTTTTGGAGCTTTTCGGAGTTGGGAATACTGACTTCAAAACCCCCACACACACACATGCACACGCACACACATTCTGCTTTCAATACCATTCACATCATAGTCTTGCGTTTTTCAGTGTACAGTCTACACACATGGATTCCCCAACTCGGGTAAAGATAATCCTGAATGCATGCGATCCGCTGTTGCCGGTGCTGCTAAGTGGAGCATGACAGGGACAGAAGGGAGCCCTGGGAAGTGCCCTCGCCGCTGCCCTTGGCCTCACCTTGAGAGCATCTGGTTGAGCGAAGTACATGACGGCCCCGATCTTCATGTGCACCCAGACATCCAGCATCTGGGCCGCAATGTGGCTGAGGGGGAGGTAGCTGACCAACACCTCCTGCTTTTCTCGGGCGTGAGAGAAGCCGCAGTCCCTGGACACCGCCCCGGCCGTCCACGTGATCTGGAACACAAGCGGGGGGCTGTGACCCAGGGCGCCTCATCCTCAAGGGGGGGCTGTCCTTTAACGAACGCGACGAAGAGTCAACAATTAGCATATTAATGTTTTTCTTTCTCCAGTGCATACGATGATGTAAAGTTTTAGCGCATCCATAGCTTTACAATCTGTATCTCTCACCGGTTCATACCTCTGGCGAGCAGTCTGGGGCCTCTGTGCGGTTCCTCCGACATCAGGCAGGGCCCGGCCCCAGGGCCTTTGCATTGGCTGTTCCCTCTGCGTGGAACGCCATTCCTTCACCTTGCCCCGTGACCGACTCTTCCTCGCATGTTCAATTTCTGCTTAAATGTCGCTGCCGCAGAAAGACTGTCTCATGCCACCAAACCGAAGTTTCCCCCGTCTAATTCTCCGGGTATCACTCACCACAACCCCAATGGTTTTATTTTATTTCAGATAATTTTTTTCTTTATTCTCATCCTTGTACCTCAACCTGTTCTCTGTATCTACGGTTCTAGTTCTGTTTTGTTTTATTCACCCATTTTTTTTTTAGATTCCACATATAAGTGAAATCCTATGGTATTTGTCTGTCTCTGTCTGACTTATCTCACAGAGCATAATACCCTTAGGCCCACCCACGTCGTCACAAAGAATGACAAGATTTCATTCTTTTTTATGGCTGACTGATGTTACATATATGAACCACATCTTCTTTCTCCGTTCCCCTATCGGTGGACACCTAGGTTGCTTCCATATCTTGTCTATTTTCAGCAATGCTGCAATGAACATAGGGGTGCATGTATCTTTGCAAGTGGGTGTTTTTGTTTTCTTTGGATTTGTCCAGAGTGGAATTCCTGGGTCCCATGGCAGTTCTAATTTTCATTTTTTGTGGAACCTCCATACTGTTCTCCATAGCAGTTGCACCAATTTGCAATCCCACCAAAAGTGCATGAGGGTTCCCTTTTCTCCACATCCTTGCCAACACTTGTGTTTTGATTTATTGGTGGTGGCCATTCTGACAGGTATTATCTGTCACAGGAGGTGGTGTCTCATGGTGGTTTTGATTTGCATTTCCCCGATGATTAGTGATGTTGCGCACCTTTTCGGGTGTCTGTTGATCGTCTGCAAGTCCTCTTTGGAGAATGAACGGTTTTACTTGTTCATTCCCTCTCGGTCTCTCCAAGGGCCATGATCGAGTCAGTTTTGTTGAACGCTATATCCCCAGCACATAGTACGCGTTCAATAAGTTTGTCGAATGAATGAATGAATGAATGAATGAAGAAATAAAAGGGAGTAGGGGCAGTAACGGATACAAAGGACCTGGCCCATAGTAAGCCTTCTGGATTAGTCCCGCTTCTGCCTCTGGGCCTCGGGGTGGAGGGCCGTCAGCACCGTCCCTCGTGGCTATGCTCCAAGGTGCCCTGCGCCCTCTCGTTGAGGGAAGGGGCTCGGCGTGTGTAGACCTGATGTGCAGCAGTGTAGACGCTCTTGGGTTCAGACCCCGGCGCGGGTACTTCTTTGTTCTATGACCTTGAGCAGGTCATCTCCCCTCCCTGAGCCTCAGTTTCCCCATCTGTGAAGGCATTAATGATACAACTTACGTCGTGGGGTTTGTGAGGGGTTGACATGTGTTCGTCTCAGTGTGGTACAGAGTTAGCGCTCTATAAACGGGAGAAACGTCGAGCTGTTGATAGACGTTGGGAATATCGGACTGGCTCTCGCTTCTTGCAAAAGAGGGTGACGGCTTACAAAGCAGCAGTAGCTAACACCGCCGG